CTTCTCAAATGTTCCACAAGTTCTTCTCTCCTGATAGACGTCGTCATAGCCACAGCGGAAGGAGCCATTTTTGCACGCAAATAGACAGCTTGCATAGCCCGATGCCTGGCAAGCACATCGAACGCAACAAACGTAAACGAATGATGTCTCGCGTGGCGCCGTGGCGACAATCTCAGGCAGTAGCGAATATATTCTTCGATACCAATCGGTATTGATCGCGGCTCGTCCAAACCGCCACGACCGAAAGGAAAAAGCTCCACAAATGCATAGATCCAAAAAGGCTTATCAAAGTCAGACATGATCGCAGATGATCGCCGAACAATCACGTGTTGTTTAGCGATCGCTGCTTGCGCTCGTTCAGGCTCATTCCTACAATCGCTGAAGTCCGTAACTAGGGCAGTAGCGCTGTGAGTAACAGTTTCATCTTCAGGCCTCACGTTCAGACAAAGTTGGTTCAGGGGCGTTGAATCTCACGCATGTGCTGTCCAGACCATCGGATGCTGTTACAGCGCTGGCATCGGCAGGTTGGTTTGATCGGTCCAGAACAACTTGAGTTTGCGCTGTGTCAGCGCCTCTAATAATATTATCGTTCACTCTAACCGCATTGAAAACACAGTTGTTGGAGCGATACCATTCCAATAGACTGATCAGACGAGGCACGCGCACATTGTACTGTTTGAACGTAGCAGCTTTCTGCTGCGGGGTCATACTCCCAATCATTGTAACACCGATAGTTCCATCAGAAATGACCTCTCTAGGAAGGAGCGAAGCAGGTGTCGAAGGTACGGCCCGAAAATAATACGCGTGAGCGCGAATGGCACTATGGTTACCGCCACGAACCACTGTGAGCATTCTTGTAGATTGAGCTAGTCCAAGCATAGCGTGCTCAGTAGCATTTGTATCCATGTACTCCTCAGGTAGCAATCCGATGTAGAGGCCATTAGCTATCGCAAATTTGGGCGGGCTCCGAAGTTTTTTGTTCATCAAAGAGTTGAAACACGGTTTACACACGTATAGCTCGCGTCCGCCGTTGTTGATTCCCATCGGAGAGAGTAACGCTCCTTTCAGAGCCGGTATTTGACTCGAAACATCGTAGCACATTAGTAACTCTTCATGTAGACCCTGAGGTGATTTTAGACGTTTCGCCATCGCTTTTAAAAGCTGGGGCGACGCCCTTACCGTTTTCTGTAGTATATCAGCGACTGGGTGCCAACAATCGCAAACGCAACACACAAACTCCTGAAGGCACGCGTTCGAAAGCCGTCGTATACACTCTTGCTGTATCTGCTTCAGCGTTTTCGCAGGAACCGGGGTAGGAAACTCGCTTTCATCTTTTGTATCGCGCTGGGCTCGCTTCTGACGTTTTTTTTTTTTTTGCGGTCGTAGGCCAGTCGCTTTTCCTCGGCAGGCGTCATGATAATAAGTAAGACCCCCGCAATCCGCAAGTTGACATTAAACAAACGGATCCTCATATTTTTCCGAGGGTTTTCGAAGCTTCGTATTTGGCAACTTTCTCAAAATTTACCCCGAATTCAGGCAAGTGATAATATAATCAGTAAAACGGCATATTCCGATACTAAAAAAACGTCTTGTGCTCAGCGAGCGTCTTTCGAAGAGGCTTCCTCTCTTCGTGCCGACCAACAATGCAAGG